AGTAATGTATTGCCTATTACACCGCACCACACATTTATTTTAAACTCGTGCTGGAAATGTCTATCTTTTTTTAAACGAGGGTTTTCGGTTTCCCAGGCATGACTATTTCGCCAATTAAAAACTCCGCGTCTGGTAAAGGTTGCTTCATCCGTGAAAAGAATGTTATTTAGGAATGTTGGATTATTATTCAATTTTCCTTTTAGCCACTGACAAAATTGAACTCTGATTCGATAATCTGTTGGAAGTAAATTTTGCACAGGTATAAAATGATAGGGATATAAATTTTCCTTGTGTAAAATTCTAGTCACGGATGGTTGGCTTATTCCAGTTGCTGCAGACAATCGACGAGTGCTTATTTCAGAATTTTGCGCAATTCTTACCAAAATTTCATCTTCTTGCTGCGGAGTGATAATCTTAGGACGTCCTGTATGATATTTTGGACGAAATGAACCTGTTTCACCCAATCGATTATAAATATTTTGAAATATCTTCCGGTTTGGCTGCCTTCTGTAAGGGTACATTTCACGATATTTTCTGGATGCTGCTTGCCCAGAAAAACGTTCTTGTGCGTAAACGCATAACATGTCTCTCATTTCTTCGTTTGAAAAGTGATTATGTCTCGGCATTTTGATTTATGTTAGGACAAGAATGAATCAGTTTACTTAACAATAAAATGTTTTAAACTATTCATTAAACGTAAAAGCTCATTGACGTTTCATAATTCATATGGCGCATGTGGCGACATCTACGAGTTAACTCAAATCCTCTCACACATTATTGTTTACCCTTACAAAAACTATAAGTCAACTATGAGTCATTATGTAGAAAAGTAGCTGATCTATTAACAAAAATCTATTTTATTTTTTTCGCTTTAACATCCTGTATCTCAGTAAGGAGCAGACTAAGACCCATTATTGATAATGAAAATATTATTATTTTGGCCTCCTGAACGTACATTTACAATTTGGCCCATTACTTATGAATCACCCTGTATACAAGAGACGCAAGGCGCCATACCCACCCCTTAAGCACCTGGCCACATGCTCCTCAAACCTCAACTGATGATCCAATGTGACTCCTAAAATTTTTATATCATCAGAAACAGTAAGAGGTTCGCCATCCATCACCAATTGACCGGATATCAAAGGCTTAATCGCTCTCCTTGTGACACTACCGCAAAACAGAAGTACAGAAGACTTAAATGGATTTAGCACAAGTTCATGGCGTTTCGCAACATCAGAAAATAATGCTATATCTGAGTTAAATTTTATGCAGGCATCAACCCAATTATTTGGATTAAAATTCAGCAGAAGCTGTGTATCGTCTGCATATAAGTGAATCTGCGAATACTCGAGAACCTGGTCAAAATCAGATGTATAAATAGAGAACAATAGTGGCCCCAAAATGGACCCTTGAGGGACTCCACGAGTAACAGACAGAGCGCTCGACACTTGACTATTAATCTTCACAACCTGAAACCTGTCCGACAAAAATGACTTTATCAAAATTGCAGCTTGATTTCCAAGACCAAAATAATTAAGTTTAGATGCAAGTATATTATGATTTATTGTATCAAATGCTTTGGTGAAGTGCGACTTGCCCGGCCTCTCTAGAAGCAAATACATCATCAGTAAGGTTCAATAAAGCTGTTGCGCAGCTGAAACCCGAACGAAACCCAGATTGTTGATCTGGCAGTATACTATACCTTTCGCAGTGTGCTCTAAGTTGCTTTTCCAAGACTCTCTCTAAAATTTTTGACATTACTGGGAGGATACTGATCGGTCTAAAATCCCTTAGGGCAGAAGGGGAAGATACTTTAGGTAATGCAATTACTTCAGCCATTTTCCAGGCATCCGGAAAAACTGATTGATGAACAGCAGCGTTTATTACGTGAGTAATATAAGGAATGAGAAAAGGGGTACACAAGTCAATCATCCAGATTGAGATACCATCAGAACCCACCGCTGCAGTTTTAATGTTATTAATTATTATAGATACTTCATGTTCATCAACAGGCATAAAAGCTTGCATTATCTGCACTCTAGGGTTTACATTATTTTGATAAAATATGGGTAATTCGGGATCAGTCTGGATATAAAGTGAAGAATCACCGTGAACAAAATAATTATTTAAATCGTTTGGAAGAAAAATGTTAGGCACTTTGTTATCGATTTTTTTATTTATATTTAGAAGTTTAATCTTTCTCCAAAGAGCCTTTGGATCTTTACTACGTAAGGCGTAATCATAGTATGCCTTCTTTTCAGCCCGCACCGTTGATGTTACCAGATTGCGATGCAACTTGTATGAAACCCAGTCTTGAGTTAGCTTAGACTTTTTGAATTTTTTAAGCGCATCATCTCGAATAGACATTAGTAGTTTAGTATTATCTGTTAGCCAGGGACTGGGAGGCTTTGTAAACCGTCTAGTTTTTAAAGGTGCATGCAAATCCATCAGAGTAAGTAAACAATTATTGAAAAAAGTTATTTTATCATTCACATTTTCTTGATCATATATGTTTCTCCACGGAATTGATTTCAGATCGTTCAAGAATTGTGGATAATTAATGTTTTTCACATCCCTGTATGTACGATAAATTGCAGCAGGCCTACCGATATCAAATGCCAGCTCACACTTTACTAGTTCATGATCAGATATATTAGGTACATTTACAACATCAATACTAGTAAACAGCTTATCATTTGTTGTAAAAACTGGATCGAGTAAAGTTTGCGAATTTTGTGTAATTCTTGTGGGTTCGGTGACTAACTGATGTAAGCCAATAGAAGTCGCAAATGAGTGAAGAAGTGTTGTTGAGGGAGAATCAAGCTTAAGAAGATCAACATTAATATCGCCCACGATAATTGTCGAGTGAGATGTAACAATACTCTCACAAAGGGTACTCTCCAGTGTTTCGATAAAAAGAGGAAGATTAAAATTAGGGGGCCTATAAACCACTCCAAAAGTAATACAGAGTTTTTTTCCTGCATCAACGGTAAAAAATAGTTGCTCAATAGAGCAGGAACTGTTTAGAAGCTGAAATCGTATTGAGCTTCTTATGTACACAGCAACACCTCCACCGCGCCCCCCACGATCCCTACGAACCAGATTGTAGCCAGGAATATTAACTAAAGAGTTGGATATATTAAGAGTTAACCAGGTTTCCGTCATCGCAAAAATATCAATATTGTTATCAAGGATTAAGGATTTTATTAGATTATACTTGGGAACCAATGATCTAACGTTCAAATGAGCTACGTTCAACTTCTTTTTATAATTTGAAATTTGAATCCCCCTCGAACCAGATCCATCGAACATTTCAGCAAAAAAAAAAAAAGTTCAACAAGTACCAATTGATTATCAACAATGAAATCATAAAATTTGCAAACATCTTTTTAAATAAATCGAGGTCCTTTTGAGTGAAATCTTGAAGCGTAAAGAAGTGGGAGGAGACTCTGAAAAGCTGAACCCAGACAGATAAAAGCTCGCTCGCGATTCTTTTAAAACTGTTTTCAAAACTTTACTAGCGTCGTCGTCGCGCCGCGAACAATAAGACCTGTAATGGACGGATCCACTTTTAATAGCCTCGCGGCTCGTAAAATATTGAATCCGCACAGAAGAACGAATAAGAATACCAAACGGCAGCGGGTGGCGGAAGTTTCCGGTCGAAGCTCTAATTCGGCGCCCCCGTTTGAATTTATGACGGCTTCGGGGGGAGGCGATTTAGTACCGCGGCGTCCGTCGGAGCGCTTCCGAGCTTTGTTAATCACGAAAACAATAACTGAATGCCGCATGAAGTGGCACGTATGGCTCCGGTGCATTGACGAATCGTCAGGCGTATGTCAACTCGATTTTGGACCGATAATCGTTGGTCAAACGCACGTGCGTCTATATGTGGACAAACGAACGTTTGACGTGTCCTGACGGCACGTGCATATCTGCCGATGATACTAGTGCCATTCAACGTCATATCGTTCAACAATCAATCTCTTCATGTACAATCATCTGATATACTTGACTAAATAAAAAATGATTCTTCTTCATTTACATTATTTTTATTATTTCTATTGTTTTAAATAATAAACCCAATAAAAATAATATGGTCAATTTAATTAATACTAATCCTTGTGATACCCAGGGATTTAAATAGATTCAAATTAACAATTAATTTATTCATAAAAGCATCGCTCCGACACAAGTACATACACACGTTTACGGATTAACCCTTCACGTTCACGCCCGTGAATGTCCGCGGTGGCGGTGATGGCGACGTTGGGGGGGATTAATACGACCCCCAGGTCCCTATTGTGCGGTGCAGCGCAATGACGGGTTCCTCCACCCGCCCGGAGAGACCCACAGGGCACAATTAATTATTGTAGGCGCATTGTTGTGCTAATCCGTGGTGCATGTGCCGGTGATGTCTCCAATCATCGCTGCCCCCCTCTCTCGGTTACAATTAGCCGAGTGGACCCGGCGGCGGCGTCGCGACGCGCCGGTCGTCGGTTTAATTGAAAACTAACCGCCCCGTCAACCGCAGTACTTTAAATCCTGACGACAACGCCGACCCGAACTCAGCTTCGGCTTAATTCTTTTGCGTGTGCCACGTTTGATGTTCGACGGCGGTTTACAACGGTTAAGGGGGTCGTAGAAAGTTTTTTTAAACTCGTTTCTTTGGTGTCGATTTTTACACACTGCTTGTGTTTAGAGTTTAAAGTAATCCTATTTGTATGGTCATGACGTGTGAAACTAACATAAATTAACTTCTAATATATATAGACCATTTTCAAATAGATTACTTTGTTCTAGCAAAAGCAGATTTCAGCCAATTTTATTTGGAAACAAGCTGTCAAGTGTAACAATCCTTTATATTTTTGCATTCTCTTCGTTAAAGAGCTTGTAGAATGTTAATGGACACGATCTTTTATTTTGAGTAGGGTTTCTAAAAGTAGGGTTTTTTTCTTTATCCAAAAAGAACAAATTTTGAAACTCTCTTGTGCAAATTCTTATCCATAATAATTGGACCGCCTTATGCGTCACTTGACTAAGCAACAAATGAATAATGTGGAGAAAAACGGGATTTTCGTTTTCATCTCCCTAAAAATATAAGATTTCTCAGAATAGACAGGCTCAAACTATTGAAAATTGTTCAGTGCCTGTCCATTTTTATCACAGAACACAGAAGCCGCTTGGTCACTCGTTACGTTTTACGATTTTACAGGTGTTTCTGTAAGTCGTGGCATAAATTTAATCACTAAAACTAAAGATAAAATGACGATGATTTGTGTAAAAATTTTTGAAGAAAATAATGTAGAGTTTGATTTTGTACTTTTAAACTGGTTTTTACTTTATACAGGGTAATTCAAATTCGACCCCCACCATTGGGATCTCTGAAACCACAAGAGATACAGAAATGGTTAAATGGGTATCTTAGAGCTCATCATTTTGCAACTAAGTTTTTGGATCTAGCCGTTTTAGTTTTTAAAATATGGCTGAAAAACAAAAAAATGACTTTTTCGTTTATACCTTTAACTTCTTTATTTTTCGTTTTTTCGTTTTATGGAAAATGTCGTGACACAACTAGAAATTTTCTCCGACGTTTCGTTTTCGTTAAACTATCATCAGGTTTATTTTTTCTTATGACCGCCATGTTTGATTTTCACATCAAAAAATAGTATAATGAATTCTGATTTCAATGATATGTCACACAATGTATTTCATTTAAAAAAAAATTAAATTGTTCAAAAAAAAACGAATTTTCTTATTAGGAGGCTGTAACTTGTGTGCTAAGTGTTTCCATAGAAACCAACAAACAATACTTATGAAGAATACTTCGACTGTCTTATGACTGTTTTTTCAGATTCACGAAAAAACGAAAAATAAAAAAGTTATAGGCAAAAAACGAAAAAGTATTTTCTTTTCAATCATATATATATAACACCTCTTCTCAGTAGTAAATTGTTTTATTTTTTATTCAATTAAAACATTATTTCCTCGACGTTTCGAGCTTTTAATGCTCATTATCAAGAATTAGTATCATCATAGCGCAATCTTACATTGTAAATTCTATTCTAACGATAGCACGTGTTATTAACTGCAAAATTATCGATGGAATAAACAATTTACTACTGAGAAGAGGTGTTTTATAAATATGATTGAAAAATTTGAATCGCGGTAAAACAAAATTGTCTGTATTTTCTTTTATTTTTCGGCCATATATTAAAAACTAAAACGGCTAGATCCAAAAAAGTTGAAAAATGATGAGCTCTAAGATACTCAACTTTGCCCCCATTTAACCATTTCTGTGTCTCTTATGGTTTCTGAGATCCCAATGGTGGGGGTCGAATTTGAATTACCTTGCATACAATTTAAGTCTAAACAGTTTCGGCCCTTGGCGATCTTCAGAGACTCTACAAATAGATTAACATCTCTCATCTTATCCATTTTACAAACAAGTTTCTTAATATTTCTTTTTGTTTTGTCAAAAAAGATCACATATCAAAGTCGAAATCAGATTATTAGTTACTAATTTACAAAATTAAAGTTTACAAAGTTGTAAAATGAAATTAAGGACGAAGTGTTACAAGTTTACAGGTTAAAATTTAAGAACGCTCTTTTTTAACAAAAGAAATATTAAGAAACTTGGGAAAAATTCATGAATCATTATGTGGCTTAAAAATCGACGATTTCTTTTAATCAATGTGAAATGACCCAAAAAACACGTAAAAGTGCTGAAAAGTGACTAACACTAGATTAACTTCAGTCATAAAACTTCTATTATATGATAACTAACTTCAGGTTTAAAATGTCAACCTCAGTTTTGACATATTTGTAATCGTCATTAAAAATCCTTTAAAATGAGTACNCTTGAACAACAAAATTCAACAACACCACTTTTCACTAAACTTCTAACCTCACATCTGGATGAATAAGTTTAAAGTGTACCTAAAAATCCTACAGTGCGGATTGCGACGTTTTTTATACAGATTATTTCTTGTATACACTTGTATAGTAGAAAGTACAGACAGTTCTAAATGCGTCGAATAGATAACTGCAGTTTAAAATGAGTGTTTAAAATTACCGGTACTTTAAAGTACCGTCGGGACACAAAGGGTTAACTTCTAATATACAGGGTGATTCACATAAGAACCGACACAGAGCAGGGACATGTAGAAGACAATAAATTAAGATGATTTAACGCAATTTATCTCTATACTAAGGTGTACCCCTGAGGAGTTATAGGCCTTCAAAGTTGGCTCTTAAATTTTTTAAAAGTTCAATACCATCGTAATACATTAAGCTAGAAAACCCAAATTTGACATACCTTATGAGTGTACCAAGGGTATTAATTGGTAGCAAATTGAACTTAGTTGCGGCATTTCCTAAATAAATATTAATGGTACCCTAAATTTTGACAGATTTTTTTAACCTTTTGTCGGATTTAATACATTACTACTTCACTTCATGTGGAATTTAATTCTAAAACTTTTCTTACTCTTATTATTTTTTAAAAAACTTTGTCGTTTTCATAAAAAACTTAAATAACTAAAGACACGTATTTCGTAATGTTACTTAAAATAAGCGAAAATTCAGTAGTCGGCTATGAAATTGTACGTCAAACTTGACAAATAGGTTATAAAATCTTGTTGTCAAATAACTTTATAACCTATTTGTCAAGTTTGACGTACAATTTCACAGCCGACTACTGAATTTTCATGATTTTAAGTAGCATTAACGAAATAGGTGTCTTTAGTTATTTGAGTTTTTTATGAAAACGACAATGTTTTTTAAAAAATAAAAAGAGTAAAAAAAGTTTTAGAATTAAATCCCACATGAAATGAGGTAATAATGTATTAAATCCACCAAGAAGTTAAAAAAATCTGTCAACATTTAGGGGACCATCACCCTTAATCAACCCTTTGAAATGCCTCAATTGGTCTCAACTTGCTACCAATTAATACCCTCGTACACTCATAACGTATACTAAATTTGGTTTTTCTAGCTTAATGTATTACAAAGATATTCAATATTTAAAAAATGTAAGACCCAACTTAGAAGGCCTATAACTGATCGGGGGTACAACTTAGTATAGAGATAAGTTGCGTTAAATCATCTTAATTTATGTCCCTACTCTGTGTCGGTTCTTATATGAATCACCCTGTATATAGACCGTTTTCAAATAGATTGCTTTGTTCTAGCAAACGCAGATCTCAGCCAATTTTATTTGGAAACAAGCTGTCATGTGTAACAATCCTTTGTATCTTTGCATTCTCTTCGTTAAAGAGCTTATAGAATGTTAATGGACACGATTTTTTATTTTGAGTAGGGTTTTTAAACATTCTAGAATCACAAGACTTTAGAATCACGCTGTTGACTTCTTTATACAAAAAGAACAAATTTTGAAACGTTATATTTGCCTTTTTTTTTGGAATTTGGTACTCTCTTGTGCAAATTCTTATCCATAATAATTGGACCGCGTTATGCATCACTTGACTAAGCGACAAATGAATAATGTGAAGAAAAACGGGATTTTTATTTTCATGTCTCTAAAAATATAAGACTTCTGAGAATAGACAGGCTCAAACTATTAAAAATTGTTTGGTGCCTGTCCATTTTTATCACCGAACACTGATGACAGCTATCACAAGCACAGAAGCCACTTGGTCACTCGTTACGTTTTACGATTTTACAGGTGTTTCTGCAAGTCGTAATCACTAAAACTAGGGACAAAATGATGACGATTTGTGTAAAAAGTTTTGAAGAAAATAATGTAGAATTTGTGTAAAAAGTTTTGAAGAAAATAATGTAGTATTTGATTTTGTACTTTTAAACTGGTTTTTACTTTATATAGAATTTAAGTCTAACCAGTGGCCAAGTTTAAGTCCTTGGCCATCTTCAGAGATTCTATAAATAGATTAAGATCTCTCATCTTATCCATTTTACGAACAAGTTTCTTAATTTCTTTTTGTTTTGTTAAAAAAGATCACATATCAAACTCGATATCAGATTATTAGTTATTAATTTACAAAATTAAAGTTTAAAAAGTTGTAAAATGAAATTAAGGAAAACGGTCTTTTTTAACAAAAGAAATATTAAGAAACTTGGGAAAAATTCATAAATCATCATGTGGCTTAAAAATCGACGATTTTTTTTAATCAATGTGAAATGACCCAAAAAACACGTTGAAAATAAAAAGAAAGTGCGGAAAAATGACTAACACTAGATTAACTTCAGTCATAAAACTTCTATTATATGATAACTAACTTCAGGTTTAAAATGTCAACCTCAGTTTTGACATATTTGTAATCATTATTAAAAATCCTTTAAAATGAGTACAAACACGACATATTTATCTTCAATATTAATGAAGTTATGGTCAACTTCCGGTTAAAAATGTCCATGTCAATTTTGACATGTTTGTAATCGTCGTGAAAAATCTTTTAAAATGAGTCGAAGCATGATACGTTTAATGCCAATATTACTCGAGATATAAGCAACTTCCGGTTTGAAAACAATTGAAAAAAATTAAGGTTGGTATTAATATTTAAAAATTAAATTGCTATCTTCATTGTTGCTAACTTAGGGTTTAATGTTTTTTATTCTAACTTTTTTGTTTTTTGAGATATGTGGTTATTTTAAACGTTTTTTAATGAAGATGACAAATATGTCAAAATTGACGTTGACGTTTCAAACCGGAAGTGATTGTATTTCCATTAATATTAAAGTTAAATATGTCGAGTTTGGACTCATTTCAAACGATTTTTTATAAAGTTGACAAATATGTCAAAATTAAAAGTTGAAAGTTCGAACTTTTTGGGTTTTTGAGATAAATGCGTCAAGTTTGGACTCACTTTAAAGGTTATTTTATGAAGATTACGAATATAATAATAAAATTAAGGTTGACATTGACGACTAACCCGAATGTTTTTAGTTCTCGTTTTAGTTTTAGTTCAATAAAAATATACAACGTAGTAATATCTTATGCTAACTAGCGCTACCTACCACTGCCACTAGAACTAACACTAGACCGAGAACTAGAAAATATCGGGTTTAGCCGTGCGTCTGAAGACTAGGTAAAGTCCAGACTGCATGAAAATTTCTAAAAACCATAAAATACCGCTTAGTCAAGATGTATAACGCAGTCCAATTATAAGGTTATGAAACAAATTAAATTTTAGATAATTAAAAAAAACATTTATTTACGATATGAGTAGTAAAATAAGTATGCAGAACACATTAATGTGAGTTTCTATATACGATTAATACATACGCTAAATACATTGCTTAGAGTAATTAGACTATTTGAGCATCGCTATGAGTATTATGAACACGCATTGATTTAAATAAAACCGTTAATGAAGTGACTAATGGTAGTAACCAGTTGATGGTGACGCATAAGTTATTCCAGCAACTTTAGCAACAGGTGCCGAATACGCTACTGGAGTATGTGCAATAGATGACGTGTATGTTATTGGTGCATGTCCATACGTGGGAGCATGTGCGCTGTAAGTTGTTACTGGTGCTGCATGGGCGTACGTTGCTACAGGAGCTTGTGAATATGCTATCGATGGGGCGATTTTGTCGATTATTGAACCATAAGCTACTTTAGCGACGGGACTAGAATAAGCGTGTTGTGGTGAATAAACGGCTGCGTGTCCAATAGGTTCTTTACGGACGACGGCGTTGAATCCATTGTGATCGTCAGCTGTGTAATCCACGGTTCTTTTGGTACCATCAGGATCAACAACGGAGTAGCTTCCTTGAACGACATCACCACGTCTAGATTCGTGTTGGCTTTTAATGTCACCGGTATGTGGGTCGTTGACTCCATACTCAAAATCATAAGCTGCTGGTGTATCTTCATAAGCGACATGTTGAGGGGCGTATGTTGCTACTTTTGCAATCGGAGCTGCATATGTGTGTACTGGGGCTGCATATGTTGATACAGGTGCAGCGTATGTATGTACAGGGGCGGCATATGTTTGTACAGGTGCAGCGTAGGTTTGAATAGGGGCGGCGTAGGTATGAACGGGAGCAGCATAACTTGCTACTTTTGCTACTGGAGCGGAGTAAACTTTGGCTACCGGGGAAGGGGCGTAAGAAATTGGTGCATGGTAAGGTGTTTGTGAATGGTATGTGGTATAACCGATTTCATCCACAGCTTGAGCAATGGCGAAAAGAACAGCTAATCCAAAAATCTAGAAAAAAATGAATTTGTTAATAATAAACCGATAAAATAATATCGATGTAAAAGTACTAACCTTAATCATGTTTACTGATCGAGTTGTTGACTTGATCTGTGCCAAAACAATTTCCTTGGGTCGGTTTTATACTGTTTCGTGTATAAGCGAGGAGCAGGAAGGCGTGGCGAGCCCCATCTGATTCCTGTGGCAGGAGGCACATCGCGAACCTTTCACCCATATCGCGCCCATCATAACCTGTTTTCAGGCATTGCCCAAAGTGGTAGAAGTTTGTTTTGGTCCCGAACGGTGTTGCAACGTCTCGCGCTCCAGTTTTTCTTTCGCATTTTTAGCCACAAACACACTCAGGAGACAAATTGACGTAACACCGGATGAGTGGCATTTCAAAAAAATTGCCCACTTTCTTTCGGAATACCAATAGAATTCAGATTGGATCATTAGTGTCTCAAAAATGATGTAATGATTAATGTTACTTTTGAGATTAAGATAATATCTATTGAATTATGTATTAATATTATTTTTATATGCTCGTTTAAAAGGTGTATAAAGAAAGAATAGGATTTCATTCCCATTATCACCTTTTGCGAGATATTTCCAGACGGTTTAATGAAATTATAATTGAAATCTCGTTCTATTCAACGACTCCAATTCTATGGTAGTAATTGTGCGATTATATGTGAAAATATTTCGCGACGAATTAAAACGAAATTGTTCCGCATTTCATTGGATTATTATTTAATTTTTTTTTGTAGAAAATAATATTTTATATTATAACCCACGCAGCGCTGAAAGTATTTCCCAATTGATTCTGTCTTGTACATTTTTTCACTCGACGTAATCGTACTCGATAAATTCACGTTAAAACCAGTCCCCGGTCGATTTCGGCCATTATGCCACATGCCTTCACGTCGCTTGGCACAATTATATAACCGACCTGTATATCCCCGACTTAACACTCATGACCTAAAAACCAAGCGTCTCGTTAATAACTCGTTCACTTCTTCGACGACGTTGTAACTCGATGAGATTCCAATCGAAAGTGATATTATTTCAGTACACCCACGGACGATTGGCGCTAAACTTTCAGATTTAACGCCAAAACAACTTTTTATTTAGATGTTGTTCACAACGATCAAAATCGATTTCTTTGAAATGATTACGCAACGACACTAAATTGGTGCTACTATCTGTCAACTGAAAACGAGCGATAATATACGTTTTGTGATTCATATAAAGATTTTTCTTTGGTCTAGTTACATATTGATCGTGCACACCTAAAAGTTCCATTTATGTCAAATAACCAAGTGTGTTGTGAGATCGATTGGAATTTCTTTTAAATTGAATAATTTTAATTTTTAACTCTATAAATGGAAATGAAATTGGATTTTAGAAAATCTTTATAAATACCGCTTAAATTATTAAGAAATATTTTATGATTAATGTGATAACATATAAAACGAATTTAAAGTTTAGATAATTTTATGTAATTTTAATTTATAAATAAATGGATGTAGTTGACATAAACGTTTATGGATTTCAAAAGGAACTGGAAATATGTGAAGAAAAAGTGACACCTTGCTGGTTTGAAGGAGAGCCTCCGGTCGTAGCTTTTCGAGTGAGCTTTCGTCTTTGTACGACGCACTCTATTCCTCTTCTGTTCGTCTTGTTACCGGGAAACGAACATTATTTCTGCTCGGCTGGTCTTACAAATTACATTTCCTTCCTCGGCTCAGTTTAATTTAAATGCTTTTTGTGTTACGGAAAGGACTCTGACTGTAAGACGAAGTTAGAATGTCGCTTGGGCTGCCTCCGGGCTTTAGCTTTGGCGAAAGGTCCTTTGGACTTCGCGACCCGAAAGGCTTTCCACCTGTCAGTTACACTCCACAACTCCGACACCATCCCGCAAAAGTTTACAGCAGGACAGATAATTTCCCTGCATTAATTTGTCTTTTATTTATTTTTGTTCGATTTATGTTGAATATTTAACCCGTGCGACGATAGCAACAAACTTTTACCCGTAATTTCCTATCTACTTTCTTAGCTGATATCTTCCTTATAATTAGGGATAGCGAAAAACTAAATGCACCACTTGAAAGCTTCAATCTTTCTCTATCTAAAACCTGGTTTTCGTCTGCCGATAAGTTGATATTAAGATCAATAAAAAATGAAGAACACCGCGCTGTACTTAAAATATCTATTGCATTATTGGCAGTGAAAAGTGCAATTAAATATATTATTAAAGAAAAGATAGATAAGTGTGAATTGTATAGTGATAGTATATCAGTTTTGGAAGGCCTTAAGAACATGAGGAAACCATCTATTTTACAAAAGAATACATGGAATTTAATTAATGATTCTAGTAGTAATATTGATTTCTTTTGGATTAAGGGTCACTCTGGAATCAGGGGTAATGAAAGAGCGGACCAGTTAGCTAAAGAAGCTTTGGTCTGCGTAGATTTACAATTTGATTTTAACGTGATTTCTAAGAGATCAGTAAAAAATAGGATAAGGAAATTTATGTTGAAAAAATGGCAAGATAGATGGGATAATTCAGTGACTGGGAGGTTGACTTACCAGTTTATACCTAGAGTTAGATAGATTTTTAAAACTGTTGAGTTAATTACTGGTCATGGTAATTTTGAGGAGTATTTAAATAGAATCGGAAAATTTGAATCTCCTCTGTGTCTGTGCGGCGATGAAAGTGGAAGTTCGATGCATGTTTTATTTAGATGCAAGAACAAATTTGAAGAGAGATGTAGATTACAGAATAGAATGCTGATTAAAGGTATGGTTTGGCCGAACTTGGAAGAAGATGTTAAAAACATTGATAAGTGTGATGAGTGGTGGAAAATTTTAAATGAATGTGCCGTGGGTTTTATTGATAAAAAATAAATTGAATTAGTGTAATAATTATTAATAATTAAACAAATAATAAAATAAAAAAAAATAAAATAATAAAAAAAAATAAAAATAAAAATATAAAAATATTAATCTATTAGTTTGCCAATTGATTTTTAGAGTATTTAAAGCGTTGCTTAGTTAAATAATTTATTTTGCGTATTTTAATTGCTTTAAAATCAACGCTTATGGGAGGGAAAGGGGAGGTAGAGAAAGTCGTTGGTAAATTGTATTTATCAATTAATCATTTAGATTGAATTTTAATTGAATGAAGTTTATTCTTGGTAAATGTATAGGTGTAGTACCTTTTGGTGGAGCACCTTAAGATTCAAATTTTTATTAATTTATCTTCAAACGATATATAGTGTCTTAAGTTACCAACGCCTTTCATGGTATCCCATAAGCGTCGATTTTGGCGCTTTAACTCGGCGTTTGGTTCATCCCACAGCGCCAGTTCTGCTTACCAAAAGTGGCCCACTTGGCACTCGTTGATCCGAATGTATCTCGCGGCTTCACGCT